AAAGTATTTATGTATTGTTATAGTTAGAGTGGAGTCAAAAAACCCGTGAAATAGATATTACAGTAATTAAAGAATAGAGTAGTTGAATCAAGGGCATTATGCTGTGATAGTTGCCCGTGAAATATGGATGTTCCGAAAAACAAATAGTCTGTGACTAGACTATGAAGTTTTCACCATCACCCAGTATTAGTAAAGTCAACTATCACAGCAAAAATGCCCTAGATATCAACTGCTCTATTTTTATTTTTCAACAACAAAATTGTTCTGAATTGGCAGGATCTGTGCACCGCGGTGGGCACTATCGCTTCAATTTTCCACCAATGAGAGCAGAGGAAAATTTGTTGTTGAATTCTAATACGCCTTAGTACGCTCTAGTTCCATTGCTTTTATGTGTCTTCGTGACTTACAGTCAAAGTTTATTTCACGGGTTTATTGACTTCACTCTATTGAAGTTGATTTAGTTGGACTCCAAACAAGAACTCATTCGTATGAGTACAAGGGCGGTGCAAATGAATTGGTAGCAAAATAAAACCATCGTTCAACGTACTATCATATGTACCACCCCTCTATAAATTGGTTTTCGTAAACCCCTAAAACATTGTTGTAGGCGAAATGAAATAAATTGTGAAACTGAAATAAGAATAAAAAATGTTAAGAGTTTCATACGTTTAGGAAAGCCACTCATGAGTGAGTTCAACGTGAAAATAGCATTATTATTATTTTGTTTACATAATAGTATGTTAACATGTATTTATTAAAAAATAATGGAAATTAGTATGGTGTAATTTCATGACAAGTTTTGAAAAATGGAACTTTGAATTCGCGCCCTATCATAGGCTCTGAGATACCCTATAAACCGGGAGCTCTAACTGAAGCTCTCCAAAATAGTCTCCTTCACGGTTACCTTCGCCATCTTGAAAGGTAGCCGTGCCTTTGCATCCTTTGAAACCTGCGAATAGTTGTCTATAGGTGTGAAAGAAGGTTTCTATCATTGCACGCTCAACGGTTGTCTCGCTTCGATGCAAAGGCACGGCTACCTTTCAAGATGGCGCAGGTAACCGTGAAGGAGACTATTCCTCAGAATGGTGTTTCCTGTAAAGACAGGATCATAAACAATCTCGACTCCCAGTTCCTCTAAAATATCCGTTAATACACTACGGCGTTCGGGAAATTTTGAATTTTTCTTCTACTACAAATATCCTTTCTTTTTCTTCCTGCTTTATAAAATAATTGAGAAATTGCAGTGTGAGCTACGTCTTTTAGGTCAAATGAGTTAACGGCTTTCATTAATCCCGATCGATCGGTGATTCAGCAAGAAATATCATTTACTTATGACCTATTTTTACCTGGATTTAAGTCATTTGTTTGTAACCAAGTTCAATGTCGCAAAATGATGACACAGGTTTTTTTTTCACCTAGATTAAGAGGACAGTTTGGTAAGGATATGCGCAAAAAAGTACCGATACATTTAAAATTACAAAAATTGGAAATTTTTACCGCGATTTTGTTGTTGAATTAGCCAATCATGTGGCTTCAAATTACACGGTGTCACAGAGCCTTTAAATTTTGGTTGGTCTGGGTAAGAGAATGGAGGTTGATCACGTGATTTCCAAGAAAATCACCTCTCGACGCGAAGTAAAAATGAGAATGGATTAGCTTAACCCTTGAAGTGCCATATTTTGTATCAGAAGTTTAAGTGAAAAGGGTGGAACCAAGGTAAAAAATTATTATTCTTCTAGTAGATCAGAATCAACATAAATTTGATCGCGCTCAGTACAACACACAGAATAAACTACAAAGTTTCAAAAGTCATTGTCATTCATTATGAAGCCAAAATGAATTAATTGTTAACTCATCGTCGCTTTTTTTGAAGGTTTTCGTTTGATTTTTTGTTAAGTGTTAATATTATTAATATTCCCAATATACTATTTTAAAAAGAGTTCCACTTTCTCGTGGGTCCATTTACATGATACACGTACACAATAATAACATTGCTATATGTCCATGATATGATCGTCAAGGTGCAAGAAGTGTTGTAGTTACCTGACGTACGACTTCGAGATCGCGTACGTACATAGCTACACCTGCGCTCAGACCATTCACTCTCACATGCATAATTACAGTAATTATCATGCATCGACAGAAACCCGTTAATGCAGGACGAACAAATTAACTTTAACTTCTTGATCGGAGGTTTTTTTTCAATCGAAATCAGAATGAAATATAGAGAAAATTCTCATATAAAATACTAGAGGAAATTATGTAGCAATGTCAATCCAAATTATGAAACTTTTGAGTTAAAAAAGGTACATTATAGAATCATGAAATGTAATGTATGCGGGTTTGCGGGTAGTCCAATACTTTGCAGTGTGAAACTGCATAAGCATTAAACACAGGTAGTCCAACCGTAGACTGATTCCATAAGTCGGTCCCAGTTCGCTCTTTGTCAGATATTTTTTCGCTCACGGGTCCGTCACTAGTTACGCGACAAACCGAAAAACCGAGGAGAGAAAACTACGACTAATGGAATCAGTCGTAGTCCAACCGCATTTTCGAATCTTGGATCTGTAAATGACGCCACTCAATATTTTGTATTATAGGATTACCTTATCTGTTCCTCTACCATGGCAAGTGGTCTTGGAAGCAAACTCTTCAAGGATGAATATCGAAATTGGCGGGCTGTAGATCATGCTTTCGACCTGATGAATGAAGGGATTCGTCCTTTCATCACACGAGAAATGAAAGCTATATACAACACGTTGATGGGCCTTGGTCGTCCTCCTTGCACCTGCCGTTATAAAAAAAGCAGAAAGAACAATCCCTGGCATGATATGCGTGTCTGTGATTGGGCCAAGGCATTGCAGTTATATCATGGGAGCAACAAGCCTAAGTGGCACCAAAGCGATGCGTCCAACTGGACTGACCCACTATCAGGAAGCTGGGAGATCGCTAAGCTCTTTATGTCTGATCTTGGAAAGCAGAAGGCAGTAGTTGTAGATGCTTCAAGTACTGACACCACAGGTCTTTTAAACATTTTCTGTTGGTGTAAGAATTTTGCACCACTTCGCCGCTTTGCAGAGAGAGTCAGAGATGTTAGAAATATCAAGTGGGGACATAATTCAAAGTTTGAACTGAGTCTTAGAGAGAAAAACGATGCTATTCGTACTATTGAGCAACTTCTAAATGCTGGTGCGCTTCATGCAGATCCTGATGCTCAGAAGGCTCTGAACTCAATCAACACAATGAACAGCCATTTCGATGCACAAAAATTGGAGCGTCAGATAATACGCGACTATATGACTGAGGTGACTAATGAGTTGAATAGTGTACAGTCCGAGTTGACAGAACTTGATACTAAACAGAAGAAACACAAGAAGACCATGAAAGGAATAAAAAGGCGTATTAAAAATCAGACAGAATGTATGAAGTCCCTTAAGGCATTGAGAAATATCGGCTATGTCAGTACTTTCGTTGCAACGGTTTTTAGGACTATGAATAGTATAAGAAAAAAGGCAAAGATGGTTCTTTGGTTGTTTATGCTGTTTTTGTTTGTGGTACAGTTTGACCCATCCTCAAACAGTCTTGAACGTAAGTATAGTAAAAAAAGCAATGAAATGAAAATGTACTGATATTTTTTAGATAAATTCTAGTTCAGGCGGGGATCATATTCCATTTCCTAGTACAGATAAACAATAGAATAACCAAACAATTTACACGTATTTACAAGTGGTTTGGTATAATCAACCATGAATAAGCTTTATTCCAAGCTTTCGACCTAAGCGGTCATCTTCAGGGAACAAAAAGACGTAGTTCTGGTAGTTGAGGCTAAGCTTTTTTACACTGGAATTTTGAGAATAGTCAGTAGTCCAGTGCTCTCTCCTGGCAATCTCGACCTGCTCCTGGAAACGTTGCGGAAGGAGATTCAGGGAGCGGCTTTAAAGGAGAGCGAATGACTAAACATGAAATTTATGAAGTCTTCAATGAATGAGTTGACGATCCCCAAGTATGCACTGTCGTTTTTTGCAATGTATTTCACAAAAGGTTTTGACTTATCCCACACACTTAGCAACATGAGCCACTACGGAAGAAACTTGATTGCAGTGCCTTTTCATTGAATGATTTTCTTTATCCAGGGTGTCCAAGCGAAGATCGCCCATTACCTTTTAACCTTAGAGACGTTAGCACACAGCTTAATGCTGCAAGAAAAGATTTTGTTGGCCGTCGTTGGTTTTATGATGATGTCAAAAACCTACTAGAGTCACTGGATCCACCAGTCTTGCTTATAATTGGGGAACCCGGTTCAGGAAAGTCAGCGATCGCAGCGAATCTTATATGCTCACGCACTTCTGAGGCCGCAATCCACGAAAACATTATCGCTTATCATCTTTGCCAACATTACAGTAAAGAAACCCAAGAACCAGGAAAGTTTATTAAAAACACTGTACATATGATCTCAAGGAGAAGTCGTGAGTATGAAAATGTTATTCTAAATGGTACTTTGATGAAAGTCTTACAGGGACGTAAATGTGAGTCAGATCCTTACAAGTGCTTCATAGAAGCTATTGTGGATCCTCTAAAAAGAGCTTTTAAGAATCCAAGTAAGTTTTATTACATTGTGATAGATGCTCTTGATGAGTGCATCCCACACCAAAGCCAGCATGTTACTATTATTGACTTACTGAAAGATAAAGTAAATGAATTTCCAAAATCGATCAAGGTTATAGCAACAACGAGGAATGACTCTAAAGTTGTGAAACGTTTTCCACAATCACTGGCTAAACAGCTTCATATCAACACATCCGATCCTCGAAACTTAGAGGACATTGCGTTCTACATCGACAGAAATCTTTATCCGCGCATGAATTTCATCGACAAAATTCGGTCCTATTTGACTCTGTCATCGCGTGACTCTTCAAATACCAAATTATCTGACAATCTCGTGAAAATCAGCCAAGGAAATTTTCTGTTTGCCGAACTCTTGGTGAAGTATATAAAGTTCGACTCCCAAATCTCATCAAGAATGCCCCAAAGTTTGGAAGGGGTTTACGAAAGGTATTTTCGACGTGTTTTTCCAACTCGGGAAAGTTTCAAAGACATTCGGGGGGTTCTAGAAATTCTGGTTGCATCAACAAAACCATTCAGGATGGACAAAATTTTCAAAACAATTAAATTGCAAAGCCCTGACTTGGACTACATGTACTTTAGTAAAGATCTTGAAAGTCTGTCGTATTTTCTTCGTTACTCAAGAGACAACAAGATTTCTTTGTTCCACAAATCACTGATGGAATGGTTGGTGTCGGACGAAAATAAAAGTATATATGTTGTCAGCAAAAAGGCTGGCCACAGAAAGTTAATACTTTACTACATGGACGCAATAAAAAACAAGCAAACGGCTGATTTGGAAGAGGCGGTACTCAGTTTAGCCCAGCATATTGCTTTTGGAGATTCTGTTGAAAAGGACCAAAAAGAATTTATCAGTATATCATCCAAAATCATCCAAAACTTCACAGGTTTTAATAGGGACAAAAGCTCTTTTCTTCACTTGGCAGCAAGAATAGACAACCCAGAAGTAATAAAACTCTTTTTACCTTGTTTTCGTGATAATGTGGATCGTACAGATTCGAATGGATTTACTCCGGCTTTTGTTTCTTCAAGAAGCGGGTTTCTTAGAAATCTTAAGATCCTAGTGGACCATGGAGCAAATATCAGTCACAAAACCAATCTTCCACCACGACCAGCTTTAGTAAATTTTGAAGATCCCGTGATAACTGCGAAGTGGGAGCTTTGGAACTCTTCGATGCTACATGCTGCTGCACAGGGTGGCCACCTGTCAATTGTGGCCTATCTTCTTGAAAGTCACCCAAATATCGATGACGCGAATGGAGTTGGTATGACTGCTCTTCAGCTGGCAGCGGAAAACGGGCATTTGGAAATTGTGAAGCTTTTGAATCAAAAAGGTGCAAAAATTGACCAGTTTGCTCTTTATCAGGCAGCCATGAATGGACACAAAGATGTTGTCGAGTTCTTAATCAGTAAAAATGTCACTCAAAACTGTTTGAGATGCGACGGCTCCTTTTATTGGCTGGGAGGAAAATCTCGATATCAGAGTTTGTGGTTTGATGTTGCAAAAAGGTTCTCAAGTGCAAAGAGTCGCATTGATGCCATTTTGTATTACTACTTGAATTACTCCTTGATTGATGACCTATCGTTTTTATATTGTGAAACACCGTTGCATATCTCTGTTCAGAAAAGATATACAGATGTTGCTCGTATTTTGATTTCACGAATTGGCTCTGCAATCCACTGTGCGGACGTGACTGGAAGCACTCCATTGCACATTGCAGCTCGCAATAATGACCTCGAACTGATTAAAATGTTAATCGAAGCTGGAGCAAGAGTAGACTCAAAATGCTCTAGATTTCTCCATCAGGAGCAAGCGATAAGCAGATCGCTTTCGCTTTGTATAAAGAAGCGTATACATCCAATTCTGAGAGATAAAGATACCCTATATTCTATGGCTATAGAGACGTGTTCTTGTGGCCATACACCAGTTCATGTTGCGGCTCAATTTGGTCACATCGAAAGTGCACAATTGCTGTTACAACAAAACGAAAATTTGTCCATTGAAGCTGATTGTGACGGTTCGTCTTTGATACACATAGCAGCCTGTCATGGCAAACACGATTTTATTCAGTGGCTTACAAATCATGTCCAAAATGTTCATATCAATAGCCCTAATGCAAAAAATGGATCTACTCCTTTACACAGTGCTGTAGCGTGTGAAAATGTCAAGGAAGCAAAAGCCTTGATTAAGGACGGCGCAAATGTTTCGGCTCTCGATGCAAATGACTTGACAATCGTTCATTATTGGATTTTGAATGCGCCTGTCAACGTATTTTGCTATGAACAATTGTTTCTCCCTAGTGAAAAAGACATTTATTTTCAGAATGAAAACATGAACGTTTCCATATCTTCTGATAAAACACTCTTTGTACTACAATACGCTGACCAAGAACTAAAACAAGAATTTGTGAAAATTGATGACAACTGTCGTGATTTCATGGAATTATTGAGTGACATCAATGATCCTTCACTGTTTGTTGTGAAAGACAAATTTGGCAGAACACCTTTGCACATGTCAATCAATAGCGGCTTACGTTGCGTCAGTATCGTACTTATGAATATAATGCCAGATCAGGTACTTGAAGAAGAATTGGGGTATTCTATATGGGATTATATCTTCAATGACTTAGTGTATAAAGAAGATAAGTGCCGGCCACGGAATACTATCAAAGCAATGTTTTCATTTTTTGACGTGTTTTTCAGTGAAAAGCAACATGGCGACTTTGTGTTCGGTGTCAAATTTTCAACACTAAAAAAGATATTTCGCACCTACCTTAAAAAAGGTAAGACGATCAAAAGCGTTGAAAGGTGGCTTTTAGATAAAGCAATTCCAGTTACCATTGAATGTAACGTTCCATTCCTAAAATCAGAACTTCATCTACTTGCTTACTGGCCACCAGCAAATGATTTTGATAACTTTTTATTCACGACAATTGATGGATCTACAAGAATACCTGGACCACTTGCCAAGGCCGTTACTAACCATCCCCTTGGTATAAGCATCATCAACCGATGTCGTGACCAGGAAGGATATACAGCCCTTCATCGTGCAGCTCAAGGTGGTAACAGAATTGCCATCAAGGAATTTCTTTCTTGGGGAGCTGATACCAAAGCCAGAACAAGAGATACTAATCTTACAGCCTTAGACTTGGCTGTATCATTTGCTGGACTACCGAAGAGTACTTTAGAAGCATTTGGTTTTCATTTATTCACGGACCAACTCTCTACAGTAAATTTAAAAACTGCTTTATACAATTCTGCATCAAGTACTTCTTTGTTGTTACTTGATCGAACTCCGAATGTTAAAGTCACTTGCGATGGAAGCTCAAAACAACTTACTATATACCACATTGCTGCATACCGCGGTATGTTTGATTTTGTCGAAGAACTGCTCAAAAACTCGAAACGTTACGGAATCACTGAAATGGATTGTCCAGATAGGAATGGGATAACACCTTTGTATTTGGCCAAGCTTAGGGTTGTGGAAAAGTCTTCTGACACAGAAGAGGTAGTATCGACGGCAGACAGGTGGATGAAAACGGTCAAATTAATTGAAAGGCGAGGGTGCAAAGTACGTTATCCGCTGAGTTTGGAGGTTGAGCACCATGTGTTGTACAGACATTTATTCGGCAGTTGTTATCAATTTGACTTCAATGCAGATGTATTCAAAGATTTGTTGCAATTGTATGGACACGGCGCAATTAATACTTGTTACAATGAGAAAAAGATTGATAGCTTCTCCGTAAATGAATATTTCAATTCTATCCTCGAAATGATAACTTTGCCTATAATTTCTCCTTTTCTATCGAAAAAGGATGCAATTGATTATTATAGTTCACAAGTTAAAGCTGGAACTGGAGCAAGTCAAGAAAAGTTAAGCCAGTGTGACGACACGAAACTGTGTTCGCGATTCAATCACCTTTTAAAGGTGGCAATTTTATGTTTTCAAAAGGAAACAGTAGGCGCTCGAACAAAGGGCAGGTCATCTTTTTGTCGTGCGCATTTCCAGTTACGAAGTGCAAAATTTACAAAGTTTCGCTTAAAATTTACACCTATTTTTCATCTCCATACCACAAGGTTTACTGGTAAATATCATCGTAAGACTCTCGCTGTGGGAATGCGCTACCTGCTTGATATAGTTCTCAATAAAACTACAAAGTACGACTATCTACGCAAGCTATCGCTCGGAATTTCACCTGATACTCGCTTATTTTATGATAACACCACCATTGATGACTCGGCTAGTAGGAAATCAAAGGCCATGATTAAAGGAACTAATGAAATGTTTGATGAGATACTAGACAACCTTTGGAGTCTCTTGGCTATAGGTAGGTTTAAGCCTGGTTTCCATATAATCTTAACAATCGCCATGATCGCCAAAAATGTGGCTCAACGACGATCTTATAGCGATCAAACGGAGACACTCCCCGGCGATCTCTATCAGATTTATCTCGTCGACCTTGGCGATCCTGGCAATTATATGGAAACACAGCACTTTCCAGGGATCCTAGCGATGGGGATGCATCCCAATATGCAGTGCATGAAATAGTCAACATTGCCATTCAGTCTTTCTTTGATAATGAGCAATCGTGGCGATTTTAGCGATCGTAGCAATCAGAGAAAACCGAGTTATGCAGTACTGGACTGACGTAATTCGTTTATAAAACTTTGTTACAGGCGATGACAGAATTACAGTGGCCTTTTTTGACAGCTGGACGAAGTGGCAGGAAGACCCCAATTGGAAAAAGAACAGGGCTGACTATGAGTAAGCGCGAAAAACGCTTGTACCATCGCCTGATCTTTAATTTAAATACCTCTATAGATATTGTATGTACAATTTTGACTGTAGACACAATTGCAGAGATAATCAATGGGATGGATGCACGCGGTAGAGTTCAAGAGAGTTCATGATAGAACTACGTGCCCGACTTGATATCACTATTTTGCCGACTCGACGTTCACAAGAACTTTATTATATAATCCTCATGATATATTCAGTGTGACAAGTGCGCCAGGAAGCTGTGCACGAAACTAAGCGGGCACTAGGCTGACTTAATTCATAGAACTTTGGACTTTAATAAATTAAACGACATAAGTGTTAAGTTAAGGCCGGGCATGTGTTTACGCGAGTACGAAGATCGGTAACGACTAGAAAATGTAGAAGACTCACTTCATGCATGCCCAAACCCAGCAAATACCTTAATTCTATATTATGCAAGTAACGAAGTAGTAAACTAGACGTCAAAATCCAATCAGATTCAGTGGAAGTACAAAAAGATTGTAACCACTTGATAAGTAGAAATAATTTCATTCGAAGACATATTTGTAAATTTCGAGTGCTACATGTGGTTCCATCAGCCAGGGACACGCCTTTGAAGAGATGTCTAAAAGTGTTGCTTATAGAATGAGAGTGCGGGTTTTATCGCGGGATATATAGAGTATAGAGCCGCAGACAATACAATGATGCATTGCGCCAAAGCAAGCATGACTTCATTAGAGAAGGAAGGGACCACTGGTGCCGTAAACTTCATCTCAAAATATATGTTTTGTTTCAATATTCAATTACACATTCAAAAAACTGAACACTTTTTAATTTGTTTTGCATAATTGTAACTATAATTTACAGCTTTAGAACATAGATAAGTGCATATATCTTTACAGGCCACATTAAAATTACATACATGTAACCATTTTCTACTAGTTCTCTTTTTTGGATTTCTAAGTTGCCATAGCTTTTAAAGATTGAGAGCCAGTCTATTTACAGTGTCCAATAGACTTTTGAAGCTTTTATGTCACCTACGTAATCTGCAATGGCATTGTATAGGATCAGTTTCTGACGAAAGTAAATGAGATCGCCATGTTTTGACCCAAACCTATCCTACAATGCATTGCGTATACGGTAATGACGTAAACGCTTCAAAGGTCTAGCGGGACCTTAAAGGTGACCCATTTTGTTAATAACTATTCTAAAATACCTTGAGGAAATGAGAACACAAGAGCGCCATTTGAATAATTGACCTTTTCGAGGTTTGCACGAGGCAGAATCGAGGAACAACCCCAAAATTGTCCTTTTTGAGCTTGTTTATTTTTTTGCAATGTCAGAAAAATATTTTTGTTAGGCGAAAAAAGTCCTAATTTTGACTTGTCTTGTCACTCTTGTTCATTTGAGGGTTGCAGCAAACATGTTGCTTTGGTTTTTACCGCAAAAAAGATCTATTGTATGAAAACTAGGCTTGAATAGTGCAAGCATGACACATTAGTTTATATCAACTATGCATTCTACAGAGGACCATTGCCAAAGTCCCTATCTGGAAAACACAGTGGTGCAACAAGTGTCCAAATGTAGATCACATGACATAACCAAGTACAAACCATCTTCACCCAAACAGAGCCCCAGTTTCTTTGAAAGTTTTCAAGAGTTGAACCTTGAGGGCTGGAAAAATGCAAAAAAGATATCAATTACTGAAATTCTGTAATTATGCGAACTCAACGGTCGTACACTAAGAAGTAATTCTGCCAATGTGAGAAGCCGCATATCGCGTATACCGAAAAACAAACCATGTGCAAATTAAAGAGACTCAAGATTCGCCGGTGAAGCAGTTCGCCTTACTCAGAAATATTTAAAAAGTGACAACGTACTTTCTAGAGTTTGCTTTACATCGATAGTGATACTAATGACAAAATAACTTATCGTTCAAATCGATTATTTGATTCAAATTGCAGGCAAATTTAATTTTTTCTTCAAGGTACACGAAGTGTTATATGATTACAAAGTCATCAGACTCTAAAATCTGAATTAGACGAAAAAACTTTGCAACCCTTCCAAGACATCATTATAATATGGCTACAACTGTTGTAGAGATTCAAAATAAATGTTTAATACACCTACGACAGTGTTCTAGCCGTATCTTAAGAATGACCAGCACCTGTAGGTAGGTTGAATGCAATGGTTGAAGGTAAACGTTTTCAGCTGTCTGATTCGGCCTTCATGAGCCCCGGGGTAAAAGTACCGGGGATGCTCGTTGGAGCTTTTAGGGGTAAAAATTCGTGATTTGGAATCTTTCAGGGTGCCAATTTGAAGTTTCTGGAAATTTGTATTGTCTACAATATCTTAGGGTGTTGGAAAAGAAGAGAAAGCGCGCATCGATTTTGATTTTCCTCTGCGTTTTTATCATTGATTCAATTTAATAATAGTTGTTGTACAATCTCTTAGGGGTTAAAAATCAGTCAGCCACGCCCTTTTTCCAGAACTTTCGGGATCTTTTAGGGGACTTTTTGAAAATTTCTGACGAGCATCCCCGGTACTTTATGCCCCGGCCATGGAGCTTTCCTTGTTCTAATTTCTTGACATGTTAGACGCCTGCTTGTGATCCTTACCTGTACCAGTTTGTTAATGTCATCATGATATACAAAGACGCCAGGAAGAAAACAAAATGGAAGAATGAGTAACTGTAAACCACAGCTTCATCTTCGTCTTCATTAACCTTACTGCCCTCTTCTGCATCACCTGTGGCAAGGACAGAACTTTCTTTTAATACTGCGTTTCATTAGCAGACTCATAAATCATATT